AGGCTACGCTACTAGCGCTGGTCATCGACGTATTCCACCGAAACCGCGAACAACGCCCCCCACCCCTGTGCGCGCTCAGCAGGCCACGGTAAAATTATCAAAGGCTGACTGGTCCGCAGCGATAAAAAGGTTGGGGACCACTGCTCTAAAGCACCTGAGGGTAGAAGCAGCAGCAGTGGATGGAAATGAATCAACGAGATAAGAAACTTAGAACTAAGGAGAACTTTCCTGACAATTGGGACAATTAAATCAGTGGAACTATTTTCCCCAGAAGTTGTGAATGCTCCAACACTAGAAGTTTTTAAGAGATTGGATAACCATTTGTCTGAAGTGGTGTAGGGTTTCCTTCCTAAGCAGGGAGTTGGACTAGAAGACCTCCAAAGTCCCTTCCAACTGTTATTCTGCTGTTAGTGTTTCATGTATTCTGCTGTTAGTCAGTGGACTAACTCCTGTTCCTCTCCTGGATTTGCACTTAGGTAACCCTCGGGCTCCCCTCCCCCCCCCCAATCGATCCCTGGATACTCCTCTTGCAACACCACCACCCTCATCCTTCGCATCGCTGGTTCTCCTGGCCCAGCCGGCTTCGAAGGGAGGAACTCTGCTCTCGTGTTCCCAAGTTCAAGGGCCGGGGGGAGGGAGGGAATACCATCGAAAGGCTGGTATGGCTGTGTATCCTGTCTCCTGTTCAACGCGGGAATTCTCTTAAAATGGTCTCGGATAGTTGGCTGTCTAGAACAGGGGTCTCCAACCTTGACAACTTTAAGCCTGGAGGACTTCAATTCCCAGAATTCCCCAGCTAGCAAAGCAAAGCTTTGAATTGAAGTCTTCCAGGTTTAAAGTTGCCAAAGTTGGAGATCCCTGCTCTAGAGAACTGACACTCCCCACCCACCCCCCTCCTCCGGTTAATTGCTTCCGCCATCCAAGTGTTCTGACACTGCCGGGGAATTGCCACCCCCCTCAGTTGCCCGAGCGCGAAAGAAGCACATGTCAACTCCAAGCCCCTTTCTCTTCTAAGACTCTATGATGCTCCTAGAGCGGCGGGGCTCTGTTCACCTCACGCGGCTGCCCGCGCGCAATGCACGCCGGGCCGCAGCTTCCCTTCTCGTCAGTCCTCCGAGGCTGCGTCGCGCTGACATCCGTCTGTCCTGCCTTTTTTTTTTCCTTTTCCCTTCTTCAGCAAACCCCCCTCCCCTCTCCTCCTCCTCCTCCTCCAAGATGGTGGTGCTGCGTTCTGGTTGATCCAAGAGGAAAAGGCGGAGGCGCAGCGCGGCCCTTACTCAGCCGCCACCATCTCGACAGCCACGCGCACGCCTAGAGCGCCGACGGTCTTCCCCATTCCCAGGCCTCGCCTGGCCCGGCCTAGCTCCGTCCCCGCCTTCGCCTTCGGCGGCTCCCCGCGCGCTTCACGTCCTTTGCCATTGGCCGCACGGCCTAGCCTAGGCGTCGGCTTGAAGGAGCAACCATCCGCCTGCCCAGCGTCCGGAGCTGACCGGTCTCGCCAGAGCCTGCCGGCTTACAGCGGAAAAAACGACAGGTAAGGCAAAGTGCACGCTGCCCTTCCCGCTCGAGAGGGACCTCCGCCTGCCTCGTCAGGCCTCCCTGCCCATCAGAGCCCCTAGGAACTGCTCGTGCTTTTAAAGGGGAGACGGCGGAGCCTGTCCCCGGCAGGCGAGGAAGGGGAGGTCGCTCTTCTCCCTGCGGAGGCGCTGCCATCCGGGGCTGAGCCGCTGGAAGTTCCTTCGGGGCCAGCTCCTTTTCTCGGCGGCGCGGTTTAGCGCAGTGCCCGCCAGGTGCCGAGAAATAAAACGTCAAGATGGTAACGTTTGGGCAACGTTAGGCCGCTGTCCCGCATACCCGTTCTTGGAGAGTATTAGCACGACTGAACACAATGCAACTTCGACTCGCCGAGGGTAGGATGGTGCTGTAAAAAAGCGAGGAAATGGCCTCCTTGAATCGGATTAAAGGACTGTTACAACCCCACCAAAACGCAGACTCCCGATGCCGATTGGGAGTCTGCGTTGAAAATTTGGGTATTTTGCTTGTCAGTTTAGGCCTCCTTTTTCCTCCATGGCCTCCAACCCGCTCACTGCCCGCCACCATCCGCACACTATAGTGGGAACTCTGTGGGGAGTTACTGTATCTGAGAATTAGAAACAATTTGCCCCTGGACTAGGCTCCAGTGCAGTTCTGAAATTGGGCTGAAGTATATAAATGGCTGCATCACACAAGGGTTAAGATGGTTCATTATAGTATAAAGCAGCAAAATCAACTTTAAATTTTTCACCCTGTGGTGTAGAAAATTACATAAATCAGTGCAGCTGGCACTGTGATAAGTAATGCCAAAAGAAGCATAGCTTAAAACATAAACGTAAAAGGAAGACTGTGTTTGGAGTCAATTTACCAGATTCTTGTGTCTTCTAATGTGACAACTGGTTATGAGAAATATTCATGCAATTTTTTTATGCTTGATTTTTTTCCCCATAGAAAAAGTAAGGTAATCAGGTAATCTTTATTCTGAACTATTTAGATGGTCAGTGTTGATGTGTTTTTTACTTTTTTCTGAATGCAGTATGTTTTGTTTTGCCTTCCTTGTTTGTTGATTTTTTGCCAAACAGAAATCACCAATATTCAGGTAACTGACATGTACACTACATTTAATTCTTCACCTCAGGGGACATACCAGTCTTCACTTTCAGACAACATAATATCAACAGTTCATTAGTCCTAGTTAATCTTGTGGTTTTTAAAGTTTAAAGTCAATACTCAAGTTCTAACAAACTTCAACTGCACTTATTTTTTATCTTTCCTTTATTATTTTTGTAAGTAGCTCTAAGCAACAAACAGTACCTAATACTGATAGTCCTCGACTTACTACCATTCATTTAGTGACCGTTCATTCAAAGTTACAACAGCGCTGAAAAAAATTACTTCTGTTGTTGCATCCCCATGGTCATGCATCCCCATCATCCCCATGTGATCACAATTCAGATGCCTGATAACTGAATCATATTTATGACAGTTGCAGAATTCCGGCATCATGTGATCCTCTTTTATGATCTTCTGACAAGCAAAGTCGATGGGAAAGCTAGATTCATTTGACAGCCATGTTTCTAACTTAACAACTGCAGTAATTCATTTAAGATATGTGACAAAAAGGTCATATAATGTGGCAAACATACTTAACTGTCTCACTTAGCAACAGAAATTTGGAGCTCTATTGTGGTCGAGGACTACCTGTACTCCTTCCTTCATTTTCTCTACAACAACAACAACACTGTGAGGTGGATTCAGCTCACCCAGTGTTGCACCATGGCCCTTTAATCACTAGACAAGTGGCTGTTTAAGTGTGTGTGTGGCGGGGGGGGGGGGGAGGAATATGCTTGTATCCTCTGCTGCCCCATTGTGGTCCCAGTGTTTAGGCTCTGCCACCTACTACAACTTGGGGTTGAATTGTTGAAGAAATGGAACCTCTTCAATATATGCATATACGTGCCTTTTGTGAAATTAGAAACTTGTATGTAGAGATTCCTGAATTACAAGTCTCTGTAGGTTGAGCTGTTTCCACACAAAAACAATATGGGAGTGGGTAGGGTTGTAGCAAGATTGAGCCATAATATGAGGACTCTATCAAATATATTACTTCTTTTCCTTACCTTAGGTCAACACTCCAAGTATTTGGCTGAGCAAAAAGAATAAAACTGAACTTGAACTTAAACTTTGTGAAGTTTAAAAAACCCTACGTAAGTTAGGAGTCCAAGCCAAAAAATATTCCTGTTTAGTTTTTTATAATTTGGACACCTGTGAAGTTGCTTGATGAATGCCATAAAAATATTAATTTTATTTAAATAAATTACTGCAACCACCAAACAGAATCCAGATCCTTTAGTTCAAAGAAATAAAAGTGAAAGTAGAAAAGCCAGTTTCCCTGCAAGTTTAGTTTATGCCACATTATTTTTCATAACTAGATTAAAAAGGAACGTGCGTACTTTTACTAGTAAAATCAGGTGGCTTAAGAGAAAAATTTGTTAAGGCTAGAAAATATCAACATTGTATAAAGATCCAATACTTTGACCACTTAATGAAAAGAGAGTACTCACTGGAAAAGACCCTGATGTTTGGAAAAGTTTGAAGGCAAAAGGGAAAGGGGATGGCAGAGGATGAGGTTAAATAGTGTCATTGAAGCAATGAACATGAATGGGCAAACTCCAGAAAATGGGGAGAGGACAGGGGAACCTGGTATTTTGTGCTCCACAGATTGCAAAGAGTTGAACACACCTTAGCAACTGAACAATAACTAATGCTGTATTCTTTTTTGGGTGAATATATCTTTTCATCATCAGGAGATACTAAAGAGCAAAATAAAAAAAAATAGATTGTTCAATAGTTCATATGGTGATTCAAGTTCTGATTTTAAATATTGCCAGTTTCAAGAATTTGCAGAATGAGCATGGACCTCAGGCAATTTCTTCTTCAGATTTTAATGTGCAAATTTGGAGTAATTGAGTTTATTGCAGAAATATTTAATTTTTGTCCTATTGACCTCTCTATCCTTTGGAAGTTCAAAATAATTTCTTTGGAGTTCCTAGGTAGTCTTTGTTTAAAGCACTGACAAATTTTGAGATGTGATTTAATTGTGCAATACCATTGTTGCTACAGTTCTAAAATAATATGTAAAAAGTTTTCTAGAGGGTGAGTAGCTTGATCCAGAAAAGGTGCTCTGTGAACTTAATGAAGGTGATTGTCCTGAATTTAGTAAAATTATGAATGAGATGCATATCTTGTTTTGTTCGGTTAATGGGATGCCAATTTGTATAGTTATTGACAGGTAATGAGTATATTAAAACTGATAAGCTCTGATGTCAAATGGTAAGAAATAGTCTCCTTTGAGCTGAGCTTGATTGTTGATGACTTCATATTCAGATCCATGTAGTTTTATAAGTAACAATACACAAGTATTTTCATACAAAAAACCTATATTTACTTATCAACTTAGCTGATATTTCCAGATACCTAGTTTCTTACTCTTAAGTATTAACCAGGTCCATCCTTGCTTAGCTTTTTGAGTTCAGTCAGAATCTGCTACATACCACCATCAAATGGTTTATGTGCTGATTTAAATGTAATATTAAAGCATTACACAGTAAGCATAACTAAGTCTGATTCTCTCCCTCTATTTATTTGCAGTAAAAAAAGTTCAGAATATTAGCTTTAAGTTTTTGATTCACCAAAGCCTGTCATATTATTCAAACTTATACTAAACCCAAACTAAAGTATGTGTCAACCTAACCATTGCTTCACTGAACATAGCTAGAAGTAAACATCAACAAAAAGTATATGGTCTGTTTGGATGGTAGTGACACATTATCCTCCAGTAGATATCTGCATAAAATAGACAAGCATCTCATTTAAATCTTGTATTTTTTTTTAGAATGCTCTAAAAGCTCTAATCAGCAAGAATATCCATAGAATGTTCTCCCTATATATACACCAGAGTTTGGCAGATAGCAATGTAGTATTTCCATTCATAACTGAAAACCTCAGTAGTATTAAAAAGTTTATATACTATATATACATACATGTACCATTCTGTATAATGGCTGACTTCAAAAGGTGACCTACCAAACCAGGTATATACATGCATACATTCAGGCACTCATTCAACTTGTATGCTGCCTGTCTTGCCTAGAGGTGACTACCCACCTTTTCTATAGCAAAGACTTTATTGAAAACAGTAGTTAACTTAGCTGGCAGATGTGCAACCAAGAGTAATTTCCATCAGTCCTACATTTGGGATTAGTTAACTTAAATCTCTAGTGAATGCAGATACAACATCCTGTCTGATCCAGGTGAGTCAGTGACTGGAGCCCATCGGCAATATATTCTTCTAAGCATATGCTTAAATAAATGGCTATTGATTCTCATTCCCTTTTCGCTGAGAAATGGGAATGAAACTCTTCTGGTTTCTGTATATAACTGGCTATGTTGGAAACATTTTAAAATCCAAAGCCAATCAGGGGAATTTATTCAAAGCTAGGAATTCTTGCAACAAGACTTTATAGCACTATGATTAAAAGGTTTTGGATATCTCATTCTCCAAATGGTTTCGACAACAGTTGCTACAATCCACTGCATTAACTGCTGAAGGATATTATGGTGGTAATTGAGCAAATAATACTTGTGGTTCCTGGATCTGAACTACAAAAATCCACTAGCTATAAGTGTCAACTTCAAAATGTGCTCTCAACAATGCTTGCTTGCTTGGGTTCGTCATTTGGGACCTTGACAATCAGTAGAGATTTAAAGTTGACTATATCTCTCTGCTCATTTCTTCTATTGGTGGTCTGGATTTTTGTAGCCCAGATTGCGTAACTCTAGATTAAACTAAAAACAGACTCTTCCCAGCATCTCGCACATTTTTCAGTTTGACAATTTCAACAGCAAGCCAGGATGACACAGGAATTCTACCATTATATATTTGTGTTCCAATGTCCAATGCAAATGTATAAGGTATATTGCATAATAATATCACAAGAATTATTTGCGACACATCTTTTAATTTTTATAATGGACCTTTTGTGTTTTGTAAAGCTTAGATTTACTTTGAAAATTTTGTAATCAGAGAGAAACAGTAGCTCATGGCATGGGACTGGGTTATGTAGAAGATTGCCTCTCCCAATTACATCACCCTGTCCCATTAGATCTGACAGAGAAGGCATGTTGCAGGTACCATCTGCTACTGTCAGGCCTAACCCAACAATGACATGGCACAATGCTTCCAAAATTCAGTTCTTTATTTGCTTACATCATATAGACCGAATCTTGCCAATCTAAACAATACTACCATAATCTAATAGATATTCTCTGGGAGTTCTAGAGAGTGGCTATCCTAAATCTCTACCTCTTCACATGATCCAGCTCCAGATTGTGCAGATCACTCCCATCCTTCAAATATGCTCCCTTCTTCCTGGGAACCTGCTGGTTACTATAATCCATCACATTTAGACTTAAATTTGGTGAGACCCAAGAGGCTAGATTTCTCAGCTGTGACACCCATTTTATGAAACGTTCTTCCCTCCCCACTTTAAGTCTGATTAGACTACATCCCTGTAAATGTTTCAGAAATCCCTGTAAATGTTTCAGAAGTCCCTCAAGATTGATAATGACACCATACCCAGGGGCCTCAGGGAATCAGAGGCATTTTATTTACTGTGTCCATGCCTTGTTGTTTGTATATTTGTTTGTATGTTTTTAATTTTTACAACATTTAATCTTTAATAATGGTTTTTTAATTGAATAATAATTGCTCTTATATATTTATTATTTTATTTAATTGTTGTGTGCTGCCCAGAGTCACTTCCTGTGAGATGAGCAATGATATAGATTTGATCAATAAATAAAACAGATTAGGACTATATTGTCAATATAATTAGATATGTTTCAGTGTATGATATTTTTATTGTTATATCTGTGTCTTTAAACAGCCAGAAGCCATTCTGTTCTCACAACCATCTATAGGTTTAAGACAGCATATATGTGGAACTGAATTATTCTTAGGCAGTGGAAAAGTGTTATCAAGTAACCAAGTTGACTGGAGTACCCAATCTAGTCACTGAAGTGGGGAACATATCTAAGAAATGGACATGTCAGTGGGGAATGAGAAATATTGACCTACATCCATCCCTATTTTATTCTGACTTCATCAGAAACTGTAGTAAACTGCAGTATGAGAAATATGTAACCTGGAGAGAAAAGTAAAATTGTCTTTTATATGCAGAAAGATTTGGTGCACATTTTAGATAATTCTTTCATTTCTATGTTCCCTTATACAATTATTTCTATGCCATGAAAATCTTAATTCTATAAATGCTGCTGACTTTTTTACGTACAGAAAGTCTTCAGCAGATAACTATAATGTGACCCACCCACAGTTATTGAAAGGGGGCGGGCAGTGGCAGGATATATTTTCTAAATAAATAAATTTGCAAAAATTATTTTTGCTTTACTCTAGTTTACATCCACATAGTTTATTCTATGTAGTTTCCAAAAATTAAATAGAATACATGTAGTGCATATGTACTTCAGTAGTTTTTACAGAAGCTTCCACCAGACAGTATGTTTGAAGATTTTGCTGCTAGGGTATAGAAAGCAGGGCAACTATAAAACTTTGTAACAGAGAGAAGCTAAGTGTATGACATATTAACTTATTTGATTGGTTTGAAGTCAGTGAAATCCCTAGTTCAATTCAAAATGGCTAAGGTTTGTCTGGAGGACAGTATTTTTGTTCACTCTTACTCTCTTCTGTCCAAAACCTTCATAATCTTGTCACTATTAGTATGTTGGCTTGAACTAACAGAAATTTTAGACTGTCCAACAACAGTCATCCATTAGGAGAACCAAGTCACATTCACTACTAAACTTGCAACAACTGCAGTGATCGGTGTTATAACATCATGATATTGGTGAAACTGACTTTCAGATTTGGAGGTTTACTTTGGCTCATTATAGCTTAGTTCAAATGCTCAAAAATTTAGGAAAAATTAACTTTTCCCCCCCTCACTTTCCAGCAAAAGTTGTGATAACTATAGTTAATGCTGTTTTTTTAAATGGAAAAAGATACATAGATGAGAGTGGAAAGCTAAACCATATAAATTGATGACCTTAACATTTTGAGCGAATATCATGATATTTGAATAATAGAATGTTGCCATATAATTGTTTATCATTACAAGCTTTATGATGATTTATTTGTTTTTCCATATTAAATATATCTAATTGTGAAGAACTGTTTAGATTTGTATATGACACATTGGTGTGTGATTAGTTATATATAATGGCTGGGCACATTTGGAAAATAATTAGATAAAAGGTCTTTGAATCCCTTGTGAGCATGAGATCAGCACTTACCTGCTATTCATTAAAGAAGGTCATTTTAAAGCTTCTGAGCAATGCTAAAAAGTTGTAGTTGCTTTAAGAAATCCCCTCATTAAAATTAAAGCAATTCTTAAATATAAGTTATTGATAAACAGCTTGATTAATTTTGATCCTGCTCTAAGGATATAAAAGGAAATTTGATTTAATAGTGACTGTGTTTGCATGTAATGCTGAACTATGATTTAGCCCAGCTGGGATGATGTTCTAGGAATGCAAATAAAATGTTGGAAATAGATGAACATCTTTCTTGCTGGGTTCAGCTAGAAGGAAATTCTTGGCAAGCTTAATTCATTTCAAATATTTTTTAATAAGATTTTGTATTTTGTTTAACTAGTTATTTTGATTTAATATTGATTTGTTTCAACATTAACTAAGATTTGTTTTAAACCAGGGGATTAATCCAAAATTATTTAAAAATCAAGCTAAATTATGTGAAAGAAGACTCTGGGGAAAATAACACTATCAGAAAAATGATCTAAAATGTGCAGGCAGTCCATGGTTTGTAATCTGCATATAATCTTAAACCCTTCAAATTCATGCTAGCAAAATTCAATATCATTTAGAAATAACACTTTTTAACTGTAAACATATATTTAATACTTTAAAGGGCTACAGTTATTGCTGATGGTTGCCTTACGTTCTTTAGCCTCTGAAAACAGAAAAAAATAACTCTAGTCTATCATAGTAGAAGTATTTTTGTTATATTTTCCTTAACGTAGTGAGTGAACTATAAGCCTTGAATGCTATGGAAAGTTTTATTGTTGCTGCTTGTTGAATTTTGAATAGAGAATTTCAACTAATAATAATTAAAAATAAGACGTTCTAGCTTTATTTTACATAAAAGGAGATACATATTACTACCCCATGAATTAAATGAATTTAAAAGTAGCCAGCAATTGGGAACAGTTTTCAAACAGTACAGTAGTTTTCCATACAGTTTTTAAAATTGTGAGGAAACACTTTGAGGAGCATGGTAGCCATATTTTTAAAATACAGGTTATCAGCACTCGAGGAATTATTATTTTTAAAATGCCAGGCTTCCAATCCCTATATTTTATTGCTTCGCAAAATATGTGCATTTTCATTAAATGTAGGGTTTTACACAGCCAACAATAAATGAGAGCTTCCAGTATGTTTATTTCAAACTTTTATAAGATCATCTAATAAAATCACCTCACAAGAGAGAAAAAGCAAAACTTTTTTGTGCTTGGATGGCAAACACAAGTTTGAATAAAGCATACTGTAATAGGTTGTTTCTTAACACCCCTTAACAAACTTAAGGATAAATTGTCCTTTCATATTGCTATTAATTATACCTCTGATAATGGTAAACAGTAAGAAGATTCATTCCAAAGAATCCAATGCCTAAAATATTCATGAAAATATATGATCTTTTAAAAGCTTCATAAGACAAGCATGGGCAATATGCGGAGTTCCAAACTAAAGCTCTCGGCAACAATCACCATTGGTCATGCTGACTGAAATTGATAAGAATGGCACAGGTTGCCCATTGCTATTCTTGATTTTATTGATTATAATCAATATTTATAGTCATTCTTAGAAGTGACCAGCAACTGCTGAATTTGTTCTAGCAAGGAAATTGAAACCGGTCACTAAATGATTATCATATTCTGGATTAATTAAAGTTTTCAAATCTTTTAAATATTAATGTGCTTCCTTTCAAATACTTTAAGTGAAACGTAGGTTGATATAGCTTCTCAAAGAACAAAGGAACATATATTTAAGGAAAAAAAGAGTCTTCTATTTAGGCATTAGACTTAGCTATGGAAGCAGATTGTTGGCTACCACCAAAATTTTGGGCAGGCAGATTAAGGATTAATTCACCCAAACTGTGAATCAGTTTATTCAAAGGAAATATTACCCAATTAATTTATTGTTACAGTACATAGAGTTGCATTAATCAATGGTTTCTCATTGGTGATTCAAATATTTCCTAAATCATGCTGAATGCTAACTTAATGCTTAAATGCATACAAATGTTAGTTGTATATTTAAAAAAATCTTACTACAAAAGATACATTTTTAACAAGTTGTTACCTTTCCCTACCCCAATTGCTGCTGCAATTTCAGTCAAGAAACCCAAGATTTTGCGCACTTTCATACAAAGATTATTTAGCTTTTGAGATAATAATGTAATTATGGAATATTGGATTTAAATTTTATTATAAGCTGTACATTTTTATTTTTGTAAAATGAAATCTATTTATTTTACATACTACTGTCAGAAACTTTTTTTTTAAAAAAAGATTGGAATATACTTTAATTTACAGCTTTAAAAATATCTTGAGTGTAGGATAAGTAGTTCCAAAGTGAGTCTGTTAAGAGGCTAGCATTGAGTTTATGTATTTTAAATTATATATCACTATTTCAAAAATTAAATAAGATAATATATTCTAGGTCTGCAACCCACCAAAGGCTATTTGGCAACTGTGCAAGAACATTCTGCTAAAGTGGTAGAAAAACATGGTAAGTAGAATAGTTATATCTTGATTATTGTATTCCTACTAGCAAAAATAACTGCACTTACTAAATCTAACTTATAGAAATATTTACACAGGTATTTATGATCTTCAGTTGCTAAATATCAATTATCATGTAATATACAAGTGTCTATTGAATGTAAGTATTTGCCGGTAAGAATTGTAAGAAGGGAATGATATTGTTTGATAGCAGCTCTACTTGGATGTTAAGCCAATTGTTTGTGGATAGAATACAAATTGAGCCACTTTTATTTTAGTTTAACTGTTCAATGAACTTTCATAAATGGATTTCATATATTTTGTACGTCTAAAATGTATGGTCATCCATCTGTTATGCCTTTTGTTCCAATAATTTATTTGTATACTAAAATATTCCTGGTTGTTTCCTTAGAATAATGCTAAAACTAATTTTACGGCTATTAGCTCTAATTAAATGAGTTTTGGTCTACTTTTACAACAATAAAAAGCCATCAAGCTTCATCAAGTTCAATTTGTTATATTTGAAAAAAATGCATGCTGAAACTGAAACATGGTGTTTGCTGAAGGGAAGTTTCTAATACACAGTTTTAAAGAATCGTTTAGTCTATTTTTCTACAGCATATGGTTCTTAAGAGTATCATCTTTTCTACTAATATTTCTATATTTCTAGCAAATTATTTTTCACTAAAGACTTCTTATACCTGAGGCAAAAGATACAATACAACTAATTCAATTATAACACTCTTCTCTGACCAAAATTTTGGATTCTAAATGCAGCCTGTATATTGAAAAAGTCTGTGCATGCAACTGCTGTTTCCAACCGAATGCAAATAAGCAAAGTTGTAGTCTTTCCAGTTGGATTCCCATACGTATATGTATAGCAAAATACAATAATCTGGCATTCTATCTATAGGTACCCAACCAGACGCATATGTATTTATAACATTCTCCATAATCTACATTTTAAAAAAAGCTGCTCCATTTTAATTATTAAAGCAGCAATGTCTTTTACAAGGCTTACACAATTGTTCAGAAATTGCTCCCAACTCTAACCCAACTGTCTCCTCATGACTTCAAATGCATAGTCACTTAACTTCATCCATGCAAAATCCTGAAGATCGTTGCTTTGTTTGCACTTTTGTGATGCATCTCTTTTATTGTACAGCCATAATTTGTGAATTCCTTAAGAAAATTCTTGGGATTCGAGCCAACTTAATTTTTGATTTAAGAAAAATTAAATAGTATTATCAAAGGGCAGATCACATCACTTTACTCAATTTTACAATGTTGTCACAATTAAGCTGTTTTATTCAGTAACTGTGTAGAGTTTGATAGCCTGAACAGGCAATACTTCACAATTTTTTTATCTCTGCTTTTTGATAATCCCACTTTTTAGCTAGTTTATAGTATTCTAGCTTAGAAAATGTTTTAAATTGTTAAAACAATTTAAAACCAACAATTAACAATTATATATTAAAAGTAATAAGGTAAGGTAATAGAAACGTATAAGACATCGTCTGGTTCTGTTTCAGCAATGGATGTCTTCAGTTGGAGAGAAGAAAGCCAATGGGAGGCCTCAGGGTACTGTGGGTACGAGTATTGCTGAATAATCACTGGCTGATAGCGACATGACAGAGTAGAAGATCAGCCTTACGTTTGATATCAGTGAAGCCAAACTGCAGGAAACAATTGACAAGTAAGCTTGAAACTACTGCAAATATGTGGGAAGAGTCAAAGCATGTCAAACTGTATTGCCCTCTTAATATTTTTTGTAAGTAATAGAACAATATGAAACAATGGTTATCAAACTTTACCGTAGGGTAATAAGAATGCTGCATATCTTGTGAATGAAGTCGCTGAATTTATATTCTTATGATCTTTATTATGTACCTAATTATTTATATATTCCTTCAATGTAACATTTTATATCAGTGGGGATGCAATTCATTGACAATTAATGTCATTATGATTAGTGGGTTTGCATTTTATCTGCTAGTGCACTCATAAAATTTAATCCTTGTTAGCCAGCTCACATTTGTGAGTTGGGTCACCATGTAAATCAATGCAATATTTTAAAAGACAAGTCTGAAAAAGGATAGAAAATTCATGCCAATCCCATGATTGGGCCTGAAGCTCTTTCTCATGTTATTAGAAAAACTGTGATTCTAGATTAGAGGCAGATGATCTCTAGAGGCCTGACTACAACTACTATTATCTGTAATCTTTAATCATCCCAGTTGGGTTGATGGAATATTTACAAATCATGATCAAAATTCAAAAATGTACGTGTATTATTTGTAATTTATTCATCTTTTAAACTTAGGATAAATATTGAAAACAGAACCTTTGTAGATAAATATATTCTGCCACTCTGATTTTACCCATTAAAATCCATCTTTCACTCACTTATAGTGATTTTGAGGCTAAAAAATATTCCATTGTAGGCATGAAGAACAATCTTGTGCTCTGCTGCCCTTCTAAGTTCCTTGCAAGTCATTAGGGCCGGTAACACTGTTGCTTAGTGACGTGGTCATTAACGCACAATGTCATGTTACCATATTGACATACAATAGTAGTTGTGACAGTTCTGGTTGCTGTCATTAAGCAAATCCTACTTGGTCATTAGGTATGATGTCATATGATCATTATTTGCAACCTCCTGCCAGTTTCCTGATTGACTTTGCTGGTGGAAAGCCAGAAGGAAAGGTTGCAAATGGCAATCGTGATAACAGCATGCTGCAATCATAATCATAATTGCAAACCAGTTGCCAGTCCCCAAATTGTGGACATTATGATAGCTTCTCCAGTAAAAATAGGGTTCAGCTCAATTCTAACAAAATAAAAAGATGCTTTTTTGATCCTCCTGTCCAAAGCCAAAATATACAAAACGTAAGAAAGTGCCTACCCTGAAAATAAAGACAGCTGTTTAACTATTACTCTTTTTTTCATAAGGAATATATATATTAAAAAGGTCTTATATGAATGAAGCTAATTCTTTAGATATAAGGAGGAATTTCTTGCAATAAAGAAAAAAATGAGAGAAAGAGAATGAGAGAATTCACACTCAGTGATTTCCACAAGGGATCAGTTCAGTCATCTTAGCTAAACCAGTTAGTTGCAGAAGGTTCTGGGTTTTAGTGTGTTTCCAGAATTCTTCACAAGGAGTTTGCATTGAAATAAGTCATTTGAGTTTACTGTTCAGATGTTGATAGGCAGACTCTCTTAACCCTTCATCTTCTCTTCTGAGTACTATTCTGTTTTAAAGAACATGAAGCTAGTCTCTTTAGGCTTTATTGCATAGTCAAGGAAAATGTTCATCTCTAGCCAGAAAATCACAAATCAGTTGATGACTAAACTCACCTTCTTAATCTTTGGTACAAACTGGAAGCAAACTGATTTCCGCAGTTATATTGCTGTACAAATGGGATTATGCAGGAAAAGCTTTCGGGGAAAGCAAAAGTTAATTGTCATGTATTTGGACCTCCTTATATGGTATCAACTTACAAATGATTTAGATGGCATCACTGGATTATAGCAACGACTGGGTCTCTTTTACATATTTGTGTACCAAAAAGGAGCAGGCTTCAGATCTTTATAGAATTTTGCAGATGTGAAATGTTGAATTAATCATGTTTTCAAAATGACTTCTGGCTTTTTACTGACCTGACAAATATTCTTGAACAATTTCAGAGGTGATTATAGAAGTCAAAATAGCTCTTAAAAACTGAACTATTGTGGAAAACATGGATGTAGAGTATATAAATTAATTACCATATGTTTATTTATTTAGCACTGTTAAGCCTATGGTTGGCTCAATACAAGAGGACTGGCAAGAACGTATTTTTAATCAACGACACAAAATTGTGATCACCCCAATGTCACCGAATGGCCACAGCTTGTAAAAGGTAAATGTCAAGATAAAGCAAAACTTTTATAAAACAAATATTTTAAATACAAATCAACTGCATTCATAACTATTTAATTATTAAACTTTAGGAGGACACTATCAAGGCAAGTAAATTAGAGATGACAATCCCTTTTTGTTTAATTATGAATGATTGTGATAATATTTAAAATATTATCATTTCAGAATTACCATTGGAAGATACTTACCTTAGTCCACCATATAGTTGGTGGAACTCACCACTGTCTAAATCTGTTTGAACTTTTTTAAAGAGAAAAATCCTTCATATAACAAACAAATTTTATCTTTTGGTTTAAAATTTTGTTTTGTTAGGAAACTTGGTAATCTTGCTAAATGCAGCAAACTTGCATACCTTTGCTTTTTCTTTCCTAGGGAGTTACAGTGGAGGTAAAAGGAGTGGCTTGCAGAATGGAGAAGTTGCTCCGAGGGTTTTTGGAAGTGAGCCACCATTTGAAATTGCTAGTTCATGCTGCAGTATTCAGATTAGTGGGTGTGTGTTGTGATCACATTTTCTGCAGTATAATTCAGGGCTGAAAATTTAAAGCATTTGTGATAAAATTATATTAAATACATAATAACTAAAAAGGTTTGCAAGTGCTTTATGCTGAGCATTTGATTACTCTGTAGTTCTTTCTGGATTACTTAATATAACGAATTTTTTAGAATTTCAAAGCTTTCATACAAATGTTCTGCACATTGAACATACTGAAGGACACATTGAAGCTGATCAGCATTAATTTAAACAGTTTTTATAAAATCAATAATTTTACATTTTTTGATGTTAAAAATCAGGTCCGCTGTGTTTCTGAAAAATTTAAAAAGACAACAAAACACTTGTTTTGAACCATGGGAATTATTTTTCATCTCAGTTGATACTTACGAACTAACAAGAAAAATAAATACATCTTTGAATCAAGGGTATATTTGATGCTCCGTGGAAAGAGGTTTTGAAGAAGCATTTAGGATATAAACAAAATGTCATGTATTATTTTTTTTTACAATACCCTTATTAGGCCAACATAAATAACACAAAATAGTTGCTAAACTTTTGTGTTCTCCAGGACTCTTCATCAAACTAAGTGTTAAAGCAAGAAAGGGGGAACATTCCGGCCAATAAATCATATTTGACTTAAGTTTGGAAGACTGTATACTTAAATAAGAATCTGCTGACGCTGTTTAAAAAGCTGGAAATTAAGATTTATTTATTAATTTTATAGGTCATCCAAATCCACCCCAGTTTTGAATTTGAAATGTCCAGTAAAATAAAATCATATTGGTATGCAAAGTCATTTACTCAAACATGACCCAAAGTCACATTTAATGCCTAGTGAGTTATCTAGGAAGGACCTCAAGGGTTTTACATTTCATCTTCCCTTCAGCATTGAAATTGAGCCCTGGTTTATGGCAAACCATTGTTTGTTGTTTACAGCTGGACCGAAATTGTTATTTAGGAGACACTAACCAGATCAATGAGAATGAAAGGTTAGTTTTTATAACTATTAAAAATTAATTTTAAATATCAAATCAAATTGTTGGAATTTTGGAGCTCATTTTATCCAAAAATATACCAGTCACATATACATCATCATATTATTTCAGAAATCTCAACATTTTTTTATTCTGTTCAGAATGCTTCTGGATGACTTTTCGTTCTCATTTTTAGTGTTAAATTTAACAAACGTTTAAAAGTTTTACTACAGTTGCCCAAATAGATCCTAGTTTCCATTATATAGATATTAACAATTTTCATTGTGTGATACACAATACTTTTGGCAATCTGGAGCTATCTACCATTGAATAAAACTGTAGGAAAAAGTATATTCATACGTTATTTAACATGATTCTCCTTGATAAAGAATATGTTATCTCTAGTTCTAGCCCCTAAAAACATTAAAGGCAAGGCAAAAAGAGGAACTCAAATAGACCACAAGAGCAATAAACAAAATGTTTTAAATGTGAAACACCTTGCATGTGAAATTGGCTGTTTTTATCTTGATTTGCACTTGAAACAGCTGTCCCACATTCGAAACATTTTGTATATTCCTATGTAACAAATTTCATTGCTTCAGCTGTAGTACTATTCAAATAAATAGTTCGGCTGAACTTTGTCTCAAATAATGACGTAATATTTGTATAATCAACTAACGTTCATGGATCAAGCTTTGCAGTTGAGAAGAGGATAATTTATATATTCTGAAATTTAATCTCCATACTTAGAGGTTTTCATTAGCTCTTTTTTTACTAGTTTTAGTTGCCTTATAAAATGATATTTAAAGCAGTTAATTGTAAGCAATATGACCAGAGTTTGTATTTATGCTTCTCCTGGCTGTAGGCATCCTTATTTGTAAGCATCTTTCCTATGAAAACTAGGTATTAGTGAAGCATTAACATCACATAATATAGAGCCATATCACGTTCTTCTTACCTACATGCAAAGTTGCTTAAGTTTTTATTTAAACATTTCAGATCACCAGGAGAACCTCACTCTGAAAACATTGAAACTAGCCGAATGTAAGTATAAATAGCATTATTACAGAATGCATTTGGTATATTGTGTGTTTAAGCCAGATGCAACATCAGGGTTGTATTATGGCAGTTTTGTAACAGCTACCTTTAAATTGTATTTCAGAGAAATTAATTCAACACTGAAACCTTATAGGACTATATTCAACTTTATCTAATGGGGTGCTGTTTATGCAACAGAACTTTCCTTGAATTTCCTCCCACTGTCTTCTCTGTGCTCCAAAATTTATTCCAGAGAGTCCCCATTATGCTGGACAAGATTTGAGAAATGGAGGAGTGGGTATAAATTCAGCCTCTTCTTCTAATTGGAAAGCTTGTTTCTCCCAGCAGAACAGAAATAATGCCCATAATAATTAAGGATTATTATGGATATTAAGGATATTAAGTATCCTCATGTGTTATAAAAATCCAGCTTTCAGAAAGTTATATTTTCAAATACAACACCATAGTTTAGTGCTTGAGTAATATTCAATGTCCCATTGAACCCTATTAACTAAAATTAAAGTATATAATTTATTAGGGCTTATACAAATCCTTCTAAAGAGGTGCAGATCTCTTTTTAAAGGTTCTGCACAGTCCTACAATTTATACATACATGAAATATTTGTGTACAGTTTCTTACATCAGATTGTTTCAAAAAGATGTACATGTACTTAAATAGGCGGCCATTACAGTCACTTCATAAATGGAATAAGATATTGATAGTCAGGCACCCACTTGGAAGCCTAACCACTGCATTCTGTAGCAGCAGCTGCTGCAATCTTTGGAATACAACAGGAGTATCTCCAGGTGAAGCCTATGGTACTTTTGATACTGTTAATTTTCCATCTTCAAACCAGTAAGGTGTAAGCTGTTTCTAAACAGCCATAGTTTCCTACTAATTATGTGCAACTACAATTGAGCCATGTCCTGGTTTTTAACCATAACCTGGATATTTTTAAACTTTTGAAGCTTGAGGAGCATTTTAGTAATGTCATACGTAAAACTTTTGATTTGATTTGATTTATTGCATTTCTATGCCGCCCTATTCCCAGAGGGACTCAGGGCAGCTCACAAACCAAAGTAAGGGCGGGGATACAAACAGGAGGAAAAACAACGGACAAACAACGACAGCAATTTAAAAACAATCAACAAACACACAATTCGAGCGGGGACGGGAACGGGAACTCGTCAGCCCCAGGCCTGTCGGAACAGCCAGATTTTAAGGGCTTTGCGGAAAGCCTGAAGGGTGGTGAGGGTCCGAATCTCCCCGGGGAGCTCGTTCCAGAGGGCCGGAGCAGCCACAGAAAAGGTAGCCAATCGGCATTGGCTGGTAGATGGAATTCGGAGGAGGCCTAGTCTGT